TTTGGGTGAAATCACCTCAGATGATACCAGTCGTTCAGTAGTCGGTGATGCTGCTGCTGTTACTGTTACCGGTCCATCGTGTTGCCAAAGATCAGCCAGATGTTTGATACGTTCCGTTGATTCAATTGAAGCTTCTGGCGTCAAGTGGTCATACGTTACAAGATCAACTGTGAATCGGCATTTGGTTATGACGATGAGATGAGGTTAAACACTCATTAGTTACATTTTTAAAAAGGTGCTCGTTGTATTTTCGGAATCCAGCAGTCTCGAAAACGAGCAGTTTGGAGAGGGTCGAAAGATATCGGAAAAGAACGAATATTCTCAAAATATCTTATAGAAACCCAGTTCTTTGATCGAGAACACGGCCTCAGAGTAAACACGAACCTAGTTGTAAACTTCAGCTTAATCTTAGCACTGGACAACTGAGACAATTTAGATGAAAAATTTCAAATTTTTAGAAACAGAGTTTGAAGCAAACTCTGAAAATTTTCCACATTTATCCTATTCTTTTATCTTACGTATGAGAAACGGAATCAGTTCTTCAAGTTCAAATAAATCACTCATACCATAATAATCACACGGATTTTTGAGCATCGGACACGGGAAGTTAATCGACTCGAAATAATTGATCATCTCATTTGAATGACCATTATAAATTATTCGACCTGATGCCATGAGAATTGCTGCAAAAGTTGACACATGAAATGATAAAAAGAACGCGATTGCTTCATTCGAAACATGTGAAAAACAGTCAGTTTCATTGCTTGGCCACTGTGGAATATTCACTTCATTCTGGCTGTTTTATTCTTGAAAATGAATTCATTCCGATCGAGCTTTCTAACTGATCGAGCTGTTCTGTTTGAATGTTAATCGATTCCGAAACTAACTTTTATGAAACATATGTAGTATTTCGATTGTTTGTGGTGCAATTGCCATAACAACGACGCGATTCAACTTAATTGCCCAGTCTCGTAGGTAATCAATGATAAACGCTGTATCATATAAATCCATTTCTTCAGTTACGTTATTGCACAGCAAAACATCTGAAAGATTATTTTTTACTGCAGAGTATTTCAACAGCTGTGAACAATACTATGAATACGAATCGGACCAATCAAAAATGAGTGTCAGATTCGAAATCAGAAGAATTCGAGCTATATTGATCCTCTTCTATGGTGGATTCCATGAAGAAAGCCAGTGAAATGGAACGGCTGAGGATGATAAAGTCAAATTCAATTTATGTGTTGTCAATAAATTGAATAATGACACAAATACCGGTTATAATTCACATCTTTTGATAGTGTGCTGAAAATATCCGTACTTTTGGGAATCATTACTCAAAATCGAACTGCTATATTCGTGATCAGTGGCCACTGTAAAATCAGTTCATAAGTCTGCAGATTTACATTGAAAATATTTTAGTTAATGAATTCTGAAGAGAAATAAAATTGTCATGGGTTAGTTGCGGAGCTGAAAGTACGAACCGGTATCTTTCAGAACTTGTTCAGCTATTTTGAGTCGTTGCTTTTCGGCTTCACCCAATTCGTTACACAGTGAATTTCGATATGGTCCAAGTGCTAGTGTCTGTATAAGTTGATCAATCTGAAATATCATTCTTTTTGACAATTTCTCCCAAACGAAGTGCTCATTATTGGAATGCATTGATGTAGAGGCAGCAAATCAGTTGTCCAAAAAAAATTCCTTCCTAGTAACATTTGGATCCAGGGTGTACTTCCTCTTCGTAGGCTTGAGCAAAGACTACCCATACGACCACAGAAACACTTAGGAGATCTCATTA